AAGGTCAGCAAAGGAGTTTCAGAGTGACAGGAAGCCCAGATCTTCCAAGACCCAGTTTTACCCATTATAATACACTGGATTTTGCTGCTAAAGGGATTATAGAAGTGGTTCTGTGCTTAATTGTACCTACATAGATGAGGCACTTTTCTGAAAAAGAAAAAGCCTTCTGGCAAGCAGTCCATAATGCAAAATAAAAGTGTGACAAACCCAGACCTACTGGGATCTGCCACACGTTAACTAAGCTGCCACCAACCATTCCCTATAAGAAGTCACACAGACCAGGGATGGATTTTTAACAAATAAAAGAATAAGGTTTATTTAAATACAACACACAGGGAAAATAAAATGATCAGGTGAATAAGATAAAGTAACGTGGCTTATTCTCACCCATTATAATACACTGGATTTTGCTGCTAAAGGGATTATAGAAGTGGTTCTGTGCTTAATTGTACCTACATAGATGAGGCACTTTTCTGAAAAAGAAAAAGCCTTCTGGCAAGCAGTCCATAATGCAAAATAAAAGCATTGCAGCAAAACAGTCTAAATAAAAGATGTAGAAATAGCAAACAATCTGAACAATAAACCCAAGTTCACAGTGATAATCGAATAGGACACTGAATAAGGTGAAAAAGATTATTCTTATCCCCCCCTCTGCAAAAAAAAAAAAAAAGAATAAAATATTTTTATTTCTATGTGAGGCTACCTGCGAAGAGGGGGTGAGATACATGTCCCAGGGAGTTCCAAATATTGCAGAAAAGGCCCAGTTTTTACCACTCAAACAGGTGAAGTGATAGGTTTGTGCTTAAATTAAACAGCAAGAAAGATAGAGAAGTCATGGGTTTTTAGATTTCGATTCCCATCAACCCCTACCAGATTCGTGAATGGTGAAAGATGGTAGGAATAGTCCATTTGTTAACGTATGGAGGGCTACAGTTTCCCCACCACTGCTTTATAGCTTTGTTTTATGTGATCTGGGGCTAACAAGCATTGATGGCCACCCACTCCAATCCAATCATCGGTTCTTCTCAACCTAAATTTGTCACTAAATCCAGGAACTTTGGCTTGCCCTGATGCCTGCTCCTTGTCAACCCACTCATCTTCTGCATAAAAATATTATCTGGAGTCAGTTGCTGATGAAGTACCAAAGATTTACATTTCACAATGTGATGGGAAGTTCTATCTTCACCAGAGCTTAAGAGGAATCCTTGCCCAGCCCTCCTTGGGTGTGAAACCAAGCAAAATCACAACCTAACAACACTGCGTTTGTGTGTATAGATCTCTAATTGTGAGGGAGGAAGTGTTTATGGGTGTGTGGTACAACTCACTGTTACTACTTTGAAAACTTCCAGATTGGTAGCTTTCACATATTCAGTGTGGTTTAGTGGATAGAGTGACAGATGACAACTCAGGAGATCTGGGTTTGAATCCCCACTTGACCCTAGAAACTCACTGGGACTGGAGACAATAGTGAAACGATTCCTTAAATATCTCACTTGCCTTGAAATCATTACAGTATTTGGATGCAACTTGACAGCATATCACACACAGAGGGAGCAATGAGAGGAAGACCACTGCCGGGCCATTAACAAGGCAGAGTTCTCACTCTCTCAGTTAGGAGCTTGTGTCCACAGAACATCCCTTACCTGCTTAAAGAATCCATCACATCAAGTTATGGTAGATTCAGAGATGTAGGTAAACAGAATTAAAACAAAATTATCATATTGATTTGCAAAGTGATATTATGCAGAACATTAATCTAATGATTTATTCTCTTGTTCATAAGGTTTCTGGTCTTTCTTGGATTGAATACCTGCTGCTCGTTTTTAGCCTGCTTTTGAATTTTTGTGAGGTTTATTTCCATATGTTGCAGTCACCAAATGCCATTTTTTCTTGCTTTTTATTTCATAGTAGGACCACCTTTCAACCCTGTAGCTACCAGCCTTGGGAGACCCTCCGAGTGCTGGCCTTTTTCTGTGCTTATTAATGTGGGGAACAGAAATGTCAGAATAAATCATCTGGAGGTTTGGGCCAAAAGGTTGCCAGTAGAAAAGGCTGGCACACAGTTCTACCTTTTGTTTCTATCTTCTAATCTGAGGAGGCAACAAAAAGCTTAAACAAGTATCTGGTGGCTGTACTGTGAGGGATGGAAGCAAACCAACCAACCTAATCCGGATAATCCACTTATTGTGTTGCACTGACATCCTGTTTATGGGCTCCCTGACTGACTGGTTGGCTATCGTCCCTATGAAAGCAGTACTGGGCTATACTGTGTAGGTATTTGGTCTAGTATGGCTCTTATTAGGTTCTTATAAAACAGAGCCATCTTGCCTTTGTTTTTTGACAGGGGCACACTCTTCCTGCCATACCACATCTCCCTTTACGAGCCTACCCAGGTGTTACAACCATCAGGAGAGGCGTTTCTCTCAGTCCCACCAGCCTCACAGGTGTATTTGGTAGGGACACAGGAGAGGTTATCTACACAGTCACACTCTTAGGACCAGGAATGCCTTTTAGCTGTTCAGGCGATCTTGCCAACTGCAGTCCTACCCAGACAGAGCAGACTTAACCTGACCTCACATGAACGGGCATACCTTATAGCCAGACAAGCTTATTACAATTGCTGCCTATGTAGACCTGCCTTTAAAGACAGACTACAAGATTGCCAGAATGCTTATGAGGCTTAGGCTATTTAATTGTATGGCACCAAATTTAACTCAGTTGTTCTGTGCCATCAAGTTGGAACGGACTTACAGTAACCCCAATAGGGTTTTTGAGATAAGTGAGATAGTTAAGGAGTGTTTTTTTTTTTACCAATTCTACCTCCCCAGTAAGCTTCCATTGTAAATGGGGATTTGAACCTTGTTTTTTTTACCAATTCTACCTCCCCAGTGAGCTTCCATTGTAAATGGGGATTTGAACCTGGGCCTTTTGAATCCTCTGTAGGTCTATCCACTATTACTACATTTGGTACCCACAATCATGCACCTACTTGCTTTTAGTCTCAGTTTCAACTGCCAATATTAACTTTTAACACCTTGAATAGTCTGAGGCCAAGTTATTGGAACAGCTACCCACCCCAAATAAACTAGCCTGAGCAGCTTCAGAGGCCCTGCTCTTGGGTCTTCCACTGAGATCAATCCAGGCGGTGAGTATAAAGACCAAGCCTTGACCGTGGTGGCTTCACACCGGCTCCTACAGAACTTCACTCAACCTCTTTTAGCACATCCCCAGTGTTTTCTAATTATCCCACCAATTTTTTGAATCCTTGCATTACTTCTCCCTACATATTATTTTATGTGTTGTCCTTACTGTTATTTATTGAAGTGTTAACATATTTTAAGGTAAATCACTTTATGAGGGTTTTTCGGTCATGGGACCGAAATAATTTTCTGCAAGTCTTCTCAGACATTCTGAACAGAAAGGCAACATAGAGAATGTTTAAATGAATGGTATAAAGTAGTATACATATAGCTATTAATGAGAAGCTAGTGTGTAATATTAAAGAAGAGATTGTTAAAAAGTCATGCCCTTACAGATATTTGGGGAGAATTGATTTTGTGTTGTTAAATCTCCAATCATCCTTGTAAGGGGCACACTTTTGATACAATTGTTTTTGTGTTTTTTTGTCTATGTAATGCCTTGCTATGTTTATGTTTTGTTATATTTTATGATAGCTATTAATAAAAAAATATTATGTATAAAAAATAAAATGCTTAAATGAATAGATTTTTATGTCAAAACAGGCATTCTTTGTAACCTAAGTAGTTTGAGCTCGAACTAGAGTCATGCTCTAAAATAGCAACTTTGCAGGCTTTAGTTAAAACTTACAGCCATTGATATCCCATTTTGGAAAGAAATCGCTATAAGATACTAATTAAACAATTGACAGCATGTTCCAAATCTTGAGGATAGATAGGAAAAGGGAATGGTGGTGAACTTAGTGCAAACTTCACGTTGTTGGGTCTTGTTTATTAGAGTGAAAAAATGGAAGCCTAGCATTCTTTGTAACCTAAGTAATTTGAGCTCGAACGAGAGTCATGCTCTAAAATAACAACTTTGCAGGCTTTAAAACTTACAGCCATTGATATCCCATTTTGGAAAAAAAATCGCTGTAAGATACTAATTAAACAATTGACAGCACGTTCCAAATCTTGAGGATAGATAGGAAAAGGGAATGGTGGTGAACTTGGTGCAAACTTCACGTTGTTGGGTCTTGTTTATTAGAGTGAAAAAATGGAAGCCTAAACACGGATTCTAGACTGTGGCCATACAGTATAGCAGAGCTCAGTCGTTGACACTGTACAGAGAGCAATCCATATAACACTGTCACCCCATGTGTCTCTCTCCACATACACACACTGGGTGGAATCCAGATTTAGCCCTGTCTAGAGTGAACTCAGTGAAGTCAATGGAGCAAGGTAGCTATAATTAATTAAAGCCCCATCTTTTTCAATGACTTAAATGGAAGTACAACTGTCAAACTCAGCAGTTTACAGCTCATTATAATATATACATGCTTGTGGAGCTATTTCTAATGTTTCTCATCCCTGATTATATGCTCACTCCCACATAACTGTCACTCAACCTCAAATGTCCATACTCATGACTGCTGTGGTCCCACCAATGATAAGGCCTACAGACAGAAAAATGTTGGGTTTTTGTGTACAGCAGCAAGCACTTTTACTAGCAAATATGTTATAAAGGCAATAATCTTAAACAAAATCAGAACATAACTCCCACTGGACTCCTCTATTTCTACTCCCCCTAGTTTTACACTGGACCAATTTGCAGCATTTTTTAAATCTAAAGTGGGTCACTCAAGCTCAAATGTCCGTACTCATGACTGCTGTGGTCCCAGCAATGATAAGGCCTACAGACAGAAAAATGTTGGGTTTTTGTGTACAGCAGCAAGCACTTTTACTAGCAAATATGTTATAAAGGCAATAATCGTAAACAAAATCAGAACATAACTCCCACTGGACTCCTCTATTTCTACTGACATTCAGGATCAGAATAGCACAAAAGATCCTGGTGGCCTCAGATTCTTGCTTGAGATGCTATCACACTCAGCCTTGGCTCTTGAATGTATAGCGACCAGAAGAAAAAAATGAATCTCCCTTATTTCCATATTACTTTAGATAAACGCATCTGAAACTGCCTTTATTTAAACATCTACAGACACATCCATGATACCAGAATCATAGAATAAGATTGTTGGGCAGGATCTAAAGGATCTTCTGACCATGCCAGAATCCACTCGGATAGGTGGCCACCCAACCTCTTTTGAAAAGCCCCAGAGGATAGCCCACTACCTTCCAGAGGCAGTCCCTACTACTACCAGAAACTCTTACCATGACAAAGTTCTTCCTAAAGTTTAGTCATAATCTGTCTTGCAGTTTGAATCAATTGGTTCAGAGGCAGTAAAAAAAACAACAACTTTGCTCTGTTTTTCAGTATTAATCTTTGGGCTTATCAAGGCAAGAGGCACTATTTTATTATGTAACTTAATTTAATTTAAATATATTTCCCTTCTTTGCACCTGTAGAGAGAGGACTCAACGCAGCTTACAAAATGTGCCAAAGTTAAACTAGAAGTTATATTTTAATAAAAAACAAAAATAAAAATACTCTACTAATTATACACAGTGATAAGTAGATGCCAAGTCTTCTTCTTAAGCATGTAAAACAGGAGATCATTTGCTTTTTATCCTGAGGACAAACCTGTGAGATAAGGCTGAGATACTGTGGTTTACCTAAAGCAATGCAACAAGATTCATGGCCTCTTCACACTGGCTTTTTATTGTCATGGTAAATATGAAAGAAAAGGCTCTGCTTTACAGAGATTTTGAAAGCAAGTAAACTTTTTGTCTTGTTCTGCAGCTGTGGAATTTTGCAGGGATGAAAAAAGGAGAACATTAGGCACCACCTCCCGATGTCAAAACTCTTGTTATGACCATGATATTTTAAGTTGACTATGCCTATTAAAGTGCATACAAATAAATCAGTTGCAAAAACTTGCAATTTATGAAGACTCTTTGGAACTCTGAACTTCAGATTTAGGAGTCAACATGTTTGCGCCACCCAAGCCAAATATTTCCTCTCCTGACGTTGTTACTAACAACTCTTTGTAGCTGTTTTGCTTGGTGGAGGGCAGCATTACCCCCACTAAGAGTACAGCCATGGTCTGCGACCCTGCTGTGCTGGTTTGGGATACTTGGCGGAGTGGCCAGCGCTAATGAGCTCCCCAGCCCCTTGCTGAGGCAGACACGAGTTCCAGACAGTGCCAAAGCCCAGCTTACATAATGCTGCTGCCACCCCCACCTTGGCATCTGTCTGAGCCAAATGGCATCTATGTACAGCTGTATACACCAACAAGACATTGTGTTTCATAATCAGGTGGCGCCCCTGCCAAGAGCGGATGGTTCCAGGAGGCAGAGAGGAGCAGGGCTGAGCGAGCGCCTAGTGCGGAGGAAGAAGAGAAATGAACTGGTGGCTGCTGCCAAGCAGCAAAATTACTCAGGAAGGGAGGCTTGCTTATCCCTAGCCAAGCAGTATTTTTTTTAAAGCCCTGACATTTCTCCTTGTTCTCCTATCTTTGTACCTACCTATTAGTCTGTATTCTTAAGTTAAAATTAGACATACAGTAGCTGCTTTTAATGGGGAGAGGGAATACCAAGATAAAAGTATTTCCAAATAAATCCTGTAGCTATCAAGCAATTTGCCCTTGCATCCCAGAACACATGCACATGTCAAAGCCCTCTTAAAAGTGTGCTTTTCAACTTTCAATAAAAATGTAAATTGAAATTTTATCTAGTAGGTTTCAAAACTTGCCATATTAATTAACCAACTCGTTTGCCCCCAATTATTGCACATTTTTATCCCCTTTCCTTCAATGAATTGAAGAGGGCATACCTGGCTTTCTTTCCCCACAACCACCCTGTTAGTTAGGTTAAGCTGAGATAGAGTGTGACTGGCTCAGGGAGCCAGCAAGCTTCATGACTTGGTGGGAGTTTGATGTTCAAGCCTCTACAATCCTCATCCAACCCATGAGATCATGTCCATCAGAAAATATGCAAGCCCTTCTTGGTATACCTTGGAAACATGGGACAGGTGGGAATCTGTAAAGGAAGTCTGCATTCCCTCTGCCACTGGTAAAAATCCATCTCTCTTTTAAATACTACAATGTTTAAATTTAATTCCTAGGTTCCACCTTATCAGAGACATTTTTCATCTTTTCAGAATGCCTAGAGGCCATTGCAAAATATAAAGTGAACTTGAGGGCTCAGGGTTTCTGAGCACATTTCTAACTAGGCCCCAAGAAAAAAGCGGCACAATGATTTCCAAACAGAACAGCTCCATGCATTCACTTCCTATTGGACATGATAGACCAATGAGCCTGTCTTACAGCTGGCCCACTCTCTGGTACTCCTAACACTCCCACTGCTACCCAGATAAAAGTTCTGAATCGATCATAAGACCTCTGTTCCAAAGCTTCCCTTTGCAGCCATGCTATGCCAAGAAGCAAAGTGGAGTATTTAATAGTTTCCGGAAAAACAAAGGGTTTCCCATTGAGATCCAAAGCAGAGAACAGCTGCAAAAGCCATACATAATCCATACCACAGGGGCTAAGATTCAGAAGTTGCCTACTATATGCTGCTCTTATAAGAGCTCCCAAGGGTTGAAATAAAACTAAATAATGTTACCTTTAATCTCAGGTCTTTTCTTCTATCCTCCATGGAACTAAAGTAAGGAAAGGGGCTTGCTTTTGTTACAGCACCAAGAGTCCCAATGGAGGGGAATGTTACTGGTCAGATAGCCACATTGGGACATACTTATGTCTAGCTTTTCCCATTGGCTGTGGATCCTAATAGGACTTCTAGTTGGCAGAGGCAAGAGCGGGCTGCTTATTCTTTTAAAATACCTTGCAGGTGCTTGCCTTAGCCATGTAAATCAGGGTCCCTCTTCTGTCTTTCAAATGGATAGGAGAAAGTTCAGGTCCACATCTTTCTTACACAGTTTTTAGTGGCTGACTATAGGTATAGCAAGTTGTGGTTATCCAGCCAGGTTACAAAAACACAACTCAAAGACTTTCACATTTAGCAAATCTGAAACTGCTACAATATTTGAGGAAAAAATTCTGTTATAAAAGATCTGTGAAAGATTTCCCATTCACCAGAGCATTTTTTGCCTGGTGAGAGCAAAATAAATAAATGTTTTACATGTCCAATATGAAGCAACAGCTGTTTTCTACTTTTCCTGCTGATTTAAATAGAAGACAGGCATTCAATGTTATTGTTTGTTTTCCAGACATTCTGCCTTTAACGCTCTGCTAAGACGTGGTCCTTTCCAAAACACAACCTTGCTTACAAATATTTTATAGAAAAGGAAAACTGCTTTCTCCTATCAGAAAATGAGCTGCACACAATATTTTTTTCCTAGCAAGCTGCATCCTATCTGTGAAGAATTAAATTTTTTGGAAGGAAGTGATATGTGATTCAATTCTTGGGGACTATGCAGAGAAGTTGATTGAACTGTGTGTGGCAATTTTTAGAATTTTAATGACATTAGGTCAGTGGGAAGACCTCCTTAAGGAGGGCACCATTATTACACTACGGGAACCTGCAGGCATCCAATTGCCGAAGCATCATCTAGAGGGCTTGCAGGTTTTGTAAGTAACCTTAAATCTCTGCTTGCTTGACAGTGATTGTATGCACGTTCCAGAAACTGATAAGACTAAGACTTCCTAAGCACAAAACAGTTATGAGAGATCAAAGCTATGATCTGGAATCTGTCCCAAGATCATACTGCACTACCATGAAATGTTCAATTATATTTTTTTCATCAGTGTGTCTTCCAGTTTGCCTTAAAATGAAACCAGACATTCAAGTTTTTCTTGGACTCTTGTTCCTATAGTGACACACTCAACTCAGAAAAGTCAGCTCTGTTAAATCCTAATGTCTTCAGTAGGGCCTTTACACAGAAATCACATTATACATGCTATGAAATATTAACAGCACGTTTTGCTCCTTGTGTGAAGGGAACTCAAATTCCAGCGAGCCAGAGAAATATCTGCATGTAAAACGGTTTAGGGACTTCCTCACACCTCTATTTTCCAGTCTACAAAAACAGCTCACCAAAATGAGATAGTCTCATTCCTATCCTTTCTACAACATTAAGTCAAAGATGTAGAACTTCCAGCAATGGAGAAGCACTATTCTCCACCCACTTCTGGAATCGTGAGCTATGCCCCCAGGCTGCTTAATGTCCTGCAGCAAAAGTAAAATGACTTAAGTTGCTCATTCTGATTAAAAGCAAACACACCTTTTAAGTAGAAGACAACTTTCCCAGATGGTTTAAGTGGGACTGATAACAAAAACCACCCTGGCCGAACTCCCAGGTGTCACTCTTGACTCCCAAGAATTCCCAGGATAAATCAAAGTAACAAGCTAACAAACAGCACCAAAACCATTTCCCTTACAATTTATTTACATACTTCCCATTTGCACTGATGGCCTTGATGCTGTAAGTGAATCGACAGTCTCTGTGTCATCAGAGCACCTGACTGGGACCTTAGCCAGAATGGCATTGGACCCAGAAGACATGATTCAAGGAGAAGCTAGAGTGAGAGAGAAACAAAAGAAATGACTCGAGTTTAAGTTACCTACGTTGGTCAGTGAAGGGAATGGAATCATTGTTTTGGGTATGTTCTAAGTAGGTGAGTATACAGAAATGAGCAGAAACAGCAACGGCTGCTGCTTCCAACCCTATCATGAGCCTCTCAATCGCACCTTTTTAGTAGAGGAGAGGTCACTGGAAGGGGTGGAGTTCCTGCAGGGAAGGGGCAAGGAGGAACTGATATGAAACGGTTGGGGGTCAGGGAGAATCAGTAACAGTCAGTCCACAGGGCTTCATTTTGCACTGGGTGGCTTGTACGGCTCCAACAGCAGACTTGAAAAGGTGTTGACTTTGTCAGCTCCTCGTACTTCATGGGGCAAGAGTGGCAGCTTTACAATGTGAAAATCTTCATAGAGGTCTTCCATCTGAAGGAAGCAAAGAACCCAACATCGGTCAAAAGTAGAGATGAGCATGACTTAAGTCATGCCTCTTTGTACAAAGATCGCCTCCGCAGCACCACAGGTGCCCCACGTCCCTCCCTTCCCCCCCCCAAAGACGACTGCCCCACTCATAAGCCTCTGTGGGCTGCCTGCGCCATTGTCCGCTGCCGGCTGCCCAGTCTGGGAAGGAGCTCAAGCTTCCCTTCTCCACCTCCTCCGGCAGGAGACCACTCAGACAAGGAGGTAGGACAGGGGTTCTCCCTGCACAGCCACTGAGTGGTCGGGGGGGGGAGGAAGGAAATGTGTGGCACCTGCCTCTTTGTACGAAGAGGCATGGCTTACAATGGAAGACCGTCTCTAGCCAAAAGTCTCCTGTTAGGAATCAGGACAGAAGAATCAGGTTCCTTGCCTCTCTGCTGGCTGGCTGCTCAGACCATGTCCATTCTTGAAAGGCATTTTTGCAGACCATTATCAAAGGAACCTCTTGTACAGGCCTAATCCAAATGCAGACTAAACATGCCTTTAAAACAATGTCAAAGAGCTTTCCACAGAGGCCTGGAAACCAGTGTTTGTACCACAGCATGATACAAATTAGCTACAGTGCTATCTGTCTACATAAACATGACTCTCTGGAGCTGACATGACATAATCTCCAGTTAAAAAGATCAGACAGCAGGTTATAAAAATTACACTTGAGAATTTTAAGAGACCGGTTGCCAGTCTAAGTAGTCAACACTGAGCTACCTTGATCAATAATCTGTCTCAAAATAAAACATCTCCAAAAATTCAGATTTATGCTTGACCCATCATCTTCTCCAAACAGATACTGTACTGGCAAATCATAACGGGTTCTAACCATACCTGGTCAAGATATTTGGACTGAATTTTGTGCCGAGCCTCACACATCTTGCAGGGCTTCTCTGGGTCAGGGAAGACTAGCTGGTTGACTATGATATTGTGGGTGTCGATTTTGCACTTGGCCAACTCCTGAATGAGCCGCTCTGTTTCATACAGGGATAGAAATTCAGCAATACAGACACAGATGAATGTAGTCTGCTCCTGAGGAAGGGATGAAATAGCATTAGGTCAGAGATGGCACTGCAGGGGATGGTCCCCTACCCTACGGTTCATCCTAAGGCTCTTCCTCCCTGCAAATCTTGAGTCCTCAGCCACTATATATATATATACACACACCACACTGGCTCTCTCCCTTGTCTGCAAAATGAGAAAAAAATAATAGCTAAAGAGCAAATACAGAGTCATCTTCCTGAATAGTCATGGCAACTGCACCTGATTCTCACTACTTTCAGGGGGAAGTAGAAAGCGCTGTGTTCTCACACATTGGAGTTGCCCATGGTCCCTCTTCATTTAAAAGAACTGCTATAGTGTGAACAATAGTAGAGCACTCGGGTGAGAGCTTTGTCATCACGGTCCTTCCTGCCCCTCTTACAGAGGCACAGAGAAGGTGACATGTCCAAAACATATGGAGGATAAATCTTCAGAACCCCTGATCTAGAGTAGCGGTTCCCAACCTTGGGTAACCCAGGTGTTCTTGGACTGCAACTCCCAGAAGCCGTCACAACCAGCTGTGTGGTCTGGGGTTTCTGGGAGCTGCAATCCAAAATCACCTCAGAAACCAAAGGCTGGGAATCACTGATTTAGAGCAATATCTCCCAAGGGGTATTAGGCGAGCAGTCGTGTCCACAGGTAATCTGTCAGCTCATTACAGAACTAGTACCAATCTCTTCCTATGAAGCATTCATTAGCAGTGTTAGCAGTTCAAGCAGTAACAAATTGTGGGATAACCAACTGTCACATGCTCTGTCATGCAAACTCTTGTAATAAAATATATTTCATTTCCCTATACAGAAATCATCAAGGCCCTGGAGTAAAGTTGGGTTTATTGCCCGGGCATATTGTTCTCAATGGCATTTGAGGATTCAATTTCTTTTAGTTTGAAGTATTTTCTTATATTTACAATTCCAAGTAATTCACGGGACATAAAAACATCTTACAAACATGGGTGTAGAAGAGACTGACTTCAGTTCTCCAGCCACCCCAGGTAAGGAACATTAATTCTATTAAAAGGAACAAGCCAGGAACCACCTCTGATTCTAGAATGAAAACACGACAATCCCATAATGGTTTCCTGCATTAGATAAACACCATTGTTGCAATTCCTTGCCTGTGTCATATTGCTAATACGGAAGCCAGCAGGCTGGAGACAAGTCTCTGACTCATAATAGGATCCAGCCACCCCAGGTAAGGAACATTAATTCTATTAAAAGGAACAAGCCAGGAACCACCTCTGATTCTAGAATGAAAACACGACAATCCCATAATGGTTTCCTGCATTAGATAAACACCATTGTTGCAATTCCTTGCCTGTGTCATATTGCTAATACGGAAGCCAGCAGGCTGGAGACAAGTCTCTGACTCATAATAGGAGGAGAGGAGGGGCTGACAATTCCTTGCTTGTGTCATACTGCTAATACGGAAGCCAGCAGGTTGGAGACAAGTCTCTGACTCATAATAGGAGGAGAGGAGGCTGCTGTTCCTAAGGAAGGAATATGCACAGGGATTTTCCATGGTGGCACTTGCAGTATTATATGAAGAAAAGGATAATGTGCCTAAGCCTTTGAAGTAGCTCTGCATCTATTCAAGATAGAGCTCTAAGGAGAGCCAGGAGGCATGCAAGACCAACATTCCTGCATCTTTGCCATGCAGATTATTGGCTTTGATGACAACCTTTGTTGTCATCATGGTTAGAAAGAATGCACAAAAACTGGTATAAGGGTGTATGCTACAGTTTTCACCAGCTAAGAGTCAAAGACTGATCAAATGACAAAGGCTTATGCCAGAATTTGGAAGTAAGGAATTACCAGTAATGTCAACTATTCTCTCTCTCTCTTTCTATCTCTCTCTTTATTTAATACTGAAGGTACAACAGCCACATTTCAAAAACAGCTTAAAGCTTGGGAAGGAAACTAGTTTACTTGTGTAATGATGCCGGCTTTTTGGTTACTTCCAAGCATTTTTACAAGCACTTTGTTACAGGGATTGTCTAACAATTTAAAAAACAAAAAACAAAAAGTAACAAGTCAGGAAACAGAACTCTCATCAAATGCTGCAGTAAGTAATAACAGATTATTTTTCAAACCTCAAAATGAGTATTTTTAGAAAACAATTGTTCTAGACTCCTAGGTCTAAGATGGGAAACTGTGGGTTTGCAACTTCTCTTAGCCTTAGCAAGCCTAGATGATGAGGAGGAATGATGGTAACTGCAGTCCAAAAACATTGGGAGGGTCACAGTTGCCCGCTCTTCAAGAATTTCACCAGTATCAGTGAAGCAGTTTACATTCTTACAAAATCCTGAAATAAGTTGTTGAAGACCAAGCTGGATTCACAGATTTGCCAACTAATTCCAACAGGTGTTCCTGCAGTTCCCTCTTTATATAAATGGCTATCACCAAAAGAGCTGCTATTAAACAGGAAAGATCCTCTACATTTGTACAATGCAAATTGTAGAATTCCCTGCTTAGGTGCTTGGGTCACTGTCTCTCTAATGTCTTTCCACAGCCATCCATTTTTTTCTTACTTAGGCAGGTGTTTGACAATACAGTCAAATACAGGGTTTTTTAAAGAACTGCTGTACTTTTCTATGTTTACTTTGTTAATTATTTAAATAGTGATATTTTAAATGGTTTTCAACTGTGTTCTGTTTCTACTGTCAAAACTGATCTAGTTTTGTTTCAATATTGAGATATTTTTAACCATACTTGCTATTTAATTCTGCCATAAACTGCCTTGTGTGTCAGCTTCTGGCAGAAGGTAGGACATCAGTCCATCAGATAACTAAATAAAATTCATCACTACTCTGGAAGACAGAACAGATATCTATTTACAAGGTCTTGACACAGATATCTATTTACAAGGTCTTGACTTAGCTGCTAATAACCCAAGAAATTGATAAAATTCTTGCTTCAGGGTTCTGTCTTTCCAAATCACATCAAACATCCTTATTTTAACTAGAAGCTTCTGTTTTCACACTGATTTCTGCAATACTTGGAGGGGGCAGGTATATGCATATCTATACAGTCATGCCTCGCTTAACGATTACCCCGCATAATGACAAATCCGCTTCACAACGATGTTTTTGCAATTGCAAAACAATGTTTTAATGGTTTTTTTTCGCTTTGCGACGATTGGTTCCCTGCTTCGGGAATCGATTCTTCGCATTACGACGATCAAAACAGCTGATCGTTGGGTTTTCAAAATGGCCACCGGACACTCAAGATGGCTCCCTGCTGTGTTTTTGGATGGATTCCTCGCTCTACAGGCACCAAAAATGGCCGCCCCATGGAGGATCTTCGCTGGATGGTGAGTTATTCAGCCCATTGGAATGCATTGAACGGTTTTCAATGCCCTTCATGGGCTTTTTTCTTTCGCTTTACAATGTTTTCGCTGTTTACAATGTTTTCGCTCTACAGCATTTTCGCTGGAATGAATTAACGTCGTCAAGCGAGGCACCACTAATCAAAATGTGTGTAACAGCATTTTCCTGCGCTCACCCTGTCCTCCTTTACTGTCAAGAGTTATGCTGGCTCTTTTAAGAGCAAGTCCCTTTTTAAAAAAAAAACTGACTGAAATGTCACATTAGGGATGAAAATAAACTTAAATGCGCTACACTTTACAGTCTGGATTTAGAATTCTAAAAAAAACTGACTGAAATGTCACATACATTATTAGGGATGAAAATAAACTTAAATGGGCTACACTTTACAGTCTGGATTTAGAATTCACCTCCAATTACTTCCAAACGTGGCAACTTACCTTCAGTGTTCTTTTTCAACTACTAATCCCAATGTCATGTTCTAAAAGTCATTTAGTATTTGCTTAAGGAACCATCCAAGACACCTATTGCATTTAAGAAGATCATCAAAAGAGCTATGCAAAATTATAAAAATCCAGAAAGGATATAAATGCTGCTAACTTCAGTTTAACTTGCACTCAGGACAATGAAGGATGGTGAGTGTGAATTGTTTCTTTTTAAACCATGGAGCCATGCAATCTGAGTTCACTTTCACTAGGGGAAGAGCCTTGGGGTGCTTTGATCTTCAAAAAAAAAAAATCCTATACCTAGTTTCTTCCTCAAAAGTGCATCTAGTGCTGCAAGAGCCCACCCTTCCCTGACTCTTGCTTTACAGTATACTTGCCGGATCCTTGAACTGCTCACTAACTGATCGGATGACAGGGAGGGTTTCCTCCAGCTTGGAGGCCAGCTGGTCAGCATTCATGTCTCCCAAGCCAAGCATGTTGCACATCTAATGAAAAAGAAAAAGAGAAGATGCTCCAGTAAACCTGAGCTAAACCACCACCAGCAGTGGAGGCAAAGCAGGGAGGGGACTAAATCAGAGCAAGTCAACTCAGAGCAACAAAGTACAACATGTTGTAAGAAATAAGAAAAAAGAGCCTCGTGGCGCAGTGGTTAAAACGCTGTACTGCAGCTAAAACTGTGCTCACGACCCGGGGTTCAAATCCCAGGTAGCCGGCTCAAGGTTGACTCAGCCTTCTACCCTTCTGAGGTCGGTAAAATGAGTACCCAGCTTGCTGGGGGGGCAATGTGTAGCCTGTATAATTAAATTGTAAACCGCCCGGACAGTGCTTGTAGCGCTATGGGGCGGTATGTAAGTCCAATAAATAAATAAGTGACCCTAGAAGCAGCCTAGGATCTCAGAACTACAGTGGTGCCTCGCTTAGCGATTGCCTCGTTTAACAATGTATTTGCTTAGCGATGAGGTTTTAGGAGCGATCTTGCGCTCCGTTTAGCGATGTTTCCAATGGGGAAATTTCACATAGCGATGTTCGGGACCTTGCTTCGCTTAGCAATGACAGTTTAGGACCCCGTTTCGCTTAGCGATGTTTTTGACAGCTCCGTTTCCGCTATTTTTAAAAGGTGTAAAATTGTCTTAAAAGGGTTTAGAGTGCTTGAAATCGTTAGTGCACTTAATAAACCCTTTGGTATCCAAATGTGGCTTCGTTCTGACTCTTTTTGATTTTTTGACGATTTTTTTTCTCCCCCATTGAAATGCATTGAAAAGGTTTCAATGCATTCCAATGGGGGAACCGTGTTTCGCTTAGCGATGTTTCCTATGGTGATTTTCGCTTAAGGACGGCAATCTGTTCCCATTGGAACGGATTATCCGGTTTTCAATGCATCTCTATGGGAAAACGCGTTTCGCTTAGCGATGTTTTCCCATAGCAATGTTTTTTCCGGAACCAATTAAAATAGGTAAGCGAGGCACCACTGTACTAAACTTTTTAAAATTGTTGCCAAACTTTGCAAGAACCAGACTCTGATGAACAAGACCTACAAGTGCCCGGTGGTAAAAATTAACACAGATGTCGGGCATTCTGAGATTTTTAATAGGAAAACCTCAGGATACTGGCTGGTCTCTTTTTACCTGTGAAATGAAGGGACTGATCTGGTTTTTAATCTGCATCAGGCGGCCCAGTCCCCGCTCCACGATGGTGGGGAAATTGAGCAGCCGTAGCGTGTGCCCTGTTGGTGCTGTGTCAAATACCACCACAGAGAAATTCATCCCCTTCACCAACCTGTGCAGATGAAAGTGAGAGAACCATCAGCAACCTTTTGTCCTTTCATCTACTTTTAAAAAAACAACCAAAAGGAGTCTGCTCACATTTATTATTTCTAACACTACAGCCACATAGGGAAAAGGAAAATGTTGTGGCTACACATGTAGATTTCTCTCTCCAATGCTGTTCCATATTTTGAGTTGTGCCACAATCTGAGAAATGTAGGCTGTTATGCAAATTGATAGATCCACAGAATTCATGTCATGGGTCCACAGAATTCATGTCATGCATAACAAAATAAGTTGTAGAATGAGTGCACTGTCTTGACAATGTGATTTTCACAATTAGTGCAACATGAAGACCCTCCAGAAACTGATATCACACTCAGCAAAGTTCCCAACTCCACTCTGGGTGTCTCTTTCTCTATCACTTACAGCCTCTTGTGTTGTGTGAGAAAATATTGGGTCCACAGAATTCATGCCATGCATAACAAAATAAGTTGTAGAATGAGCACAGAATATGTAAATTGGCTCAGCAACACAAGAGATGCAAGCAGCACACATATATGAGAACTCTGGAAATGTACAGAATGCTTGTCGATCATGCTAGGCCATCCTTACTGATGTCACTTCTTTCCCTTTGCTAACCCAAAGCTTCTAACAGTGAGCATAAAAAAGACATCCACAGTTTGGTTTTCTGCAGGAGGTGACCTGGTGCCCCCAACCATAATTCTTACCTCATCACTTCAGCATAGCTCATGGCCTCATCAATACCAGGAAAGGCACTCATGGCCTCTTGCATCATCTTCTTGCCCATACTCAGCATGTTATCCTCTTCAAAAAATTCATCTGGAAGTTCAGCTACACCCAAGCTAGGATCAATTTCCTGAAAAACAGAATTATAGATTGCCAAAAATTTTTTGGATGTATCTGCAGAGAAGCTTTTAAACTCATGCTCATTACACTGAAATCCAGATTATGACATACAATTATTGACTACAGTTTCAGAGTGGCACTTTTTCTTAATATTACTAAACACTGACAATGCTGTTAAGATGTCTACTAAGCTATAGTAAGGTTGATCCACAACCACACATATTTATTTATGTCAACCATTCGCAAATGCCCATACATGCTGGATGTACACCTTTACATGGTGAGATGATTTCTTAGGGAAATACCAATAGGACTGCTAGATGCTGTTTAGACTTCTACAAGAGTCACATTCAAACTGAGACACCAGACTAATTTGTATAATCTGTTCCAAGAATTAATAATCACATTATCAGAAGATAATTGACAGTTCTAGTGGTTATAAGGTAGAGAAATTATTGAACTGCAGCTATTAGGCACTTGCCCTAGTGGAGGAATTTTAACAAACAATGTTCAGTAACACTCAAGCTAACCTCTGTTAGTGTTATGCAGAAAAAACACTTCTGAATATTATATACCTCAAAAACCCTATAATCAGATAATTCTAAGTAAAGCAAGTCACAATCCAAAACAAAACAAGTGCAGTAAGATGAGACTCCCAAGTCAGAAGGCAGTCAAATACTAGGGAAAAATAAAAGATAACTGCAAATAGCGCTGATGCTAATGAAGCAACTGAATTAAAGGCAAAAGGAATTCTGGTAGGAGATGGGCTCAGAAGCAAAACAAAAAACAAAAAAACAAAAAAAACCACCCCTCCCAAAAAAACTGATACGTATAGCTGAACACAGAATGTGAGACTTATGAATCAAAGTAAGCTCGCAAAGTTCAAAATGAGAAATGGAACTTTTAAATGTTTTAATTCTTGGTTTAAGCAAATAAAGTGGACAGGCATAGGAGCAGAGAACTGCAAAATGTTTTACTCTGAAATGACAAACCCGGAAGAAACACTGTGGCTTTAAGAGCAAGGTGAGACATAGCACCAGTAGTTGGGGTACAATGCAAAGTCTGACAGAATAATGCCAGACATGGAGGAAAACTTATTTAAACAACACATTATTCACACCTGTGCTCCAGGTGTGAATTTGCAGACAAATAAAAATAAAAAGGCTTTATGCAAGAGTCCAGGAGGAAACTGGTAACCAAACATAATGCACTAATAACCATAGGTAACTGGAATGCAAAGTATGAAATAAAGTAAAACAAAGCATCATTGCAAAATTTGGCCTAGAAATCAGAAATGAAGCAGGAGAGTGATACACAGAACTCTGTGAAGCCAACAATTTGTTTATTGGAAACATATACTTCAAGCAACCGAAGACAATTACTGTATGTATGTGGATGCCACTGGGTGGTCAATAGAGAAAACAAATAGATTGTATAATCGGAAACAGAAGGTGAAAAAGCTCTATTTTTTCTGCAAAAACAATATGTAAGTTGCTCCAGCTCCTAAATGATCTGAACTAACCTCCTTAGCAAATTTTGTAGCTTTTCTTTCTTGCCCTCACATCCCAATTGTTAAACATTAGGCAATAAGATTATGTCCACTGTGAGATGAACAGCTCTAAGCTGAAGTGGTAATGCTTATTTTGAGATACAGATCATGTCCAGGCTTTTGATGAAAAGAAATAGTTTTTAATATCTGGGATTCCTGGCTTATATTCAATAAATATTAGGTGACTGAGAAAGTATTATTAAATCTTTATATTGCCCACTGACTCATTTGAACAAAGCAGAACAACTGCAATTCAAACAGAGGATCTAAAATTGGGCACATCATGTTGACCTCTCAGATTAGGGCTGCAAGCCTTTTTTACTGGTAAACACTCTGCTCAACTACTTTGGTTAAGCAGCTGTTCATTTATCTCATCCAGTCACTTTCCTCCCACCACTCCCTCAATTTCTTGTTTTAATAGAAAGTTAATCTGCAACAATTTCATGCTTTCATTTTTCATTAAATGCTTGATGATTTAAAAAAATAGCTCTCACACTTGGAGGGAAAAAAGCTTTTGCTGACAAGCAAGTTAAGTGACTGAAAAAGCTTTAGTTGCTTCATCTGTCACTAAAAATAAAATATAAAGCATAACCAGAAAAATTGCTGACTGTATCCCATAAGGACAGACATACACATTTTACAGAAGAAAAATGCACTGACTATTCATTCTCCTCAGAGAAATACTCACCATGGCAAAAAGGTTGTCATAGCCCTTTACTTTGGTGGGAACCTTGGAAAATTTCTGGTCAAAAGCATCTGAGATATTATGAGCAGGGTCCGTTGAGATGATAAGGACGCTCTCCCGCACTTTCGAGAGTTGTACAGCTAAACTGCAGCTAGGTCCAGAAAGTGAAACAAAATGTAGCAATTACTGTAACTCAGAAGACAAAAAAACAAAGTAGCACAAGTTCTCCACCTCTTGTTTTAACAAGACAGTTGGGAACAAGAGTCATCACTGAATATCTAGCAAATACTAACTATGAAGGAAGGTGATAACAAACAGAAGAAAATAATACGTCCGCCATGGATCATCTAGCCCTATTTCTGCCTTGCTGAAATAAAGTTTGCTGCTTATTTTTGCAGTTTGTGCAAGGACCACACAGCTTTTTTTCTTTTCATTTTAAAAAAATGTTTATAACTTAATCCTACACATAGCAACTAAAAAAAGGCTCACTAAATTTAATGGGCTTTACTCCCAAATCATTGTAAACAAGATTGCAGCCATTTAGGCTGGAAACTGATATCCACAATCGTAGAAGTCAAACCAACTAAACTCAAAGGGAACACTCCTATTACTTGCATATGCTGGCAAAAATCACAGCAGTAAACTGTCAGTAGTTAAGAAATTGAACTTTTGATTCCTCATTATGCAGCAGCTGTGTGACTTGGTGCATAATGACAAACACAAGTCTTCTTAAAAGTAAAGGTTCCCCTTGACAATTTTTGTCCAGTTGTGTTCGACTCTAGGGGGCGGTGCTCATCCCTGTTTCCGAGCCACAGAGCCAGCGTTTTTGTCTGAAGACAATCTTCCGTGGTCACATGGCCAGTGTGACTTAGACACGGAACGTTGTTACCTTCCCACCGAAGTGGTCCCTATTTATCTACTTGCATTTGTATGCTTTCGAACCGCTAGGTTGGCAGGAGCTGGGACAAGCGACGGGCGCTCACTCCGTCGCGTGGATTCAATCTTACAACTGTTTGGTCTTCTGACCCTGCAGCACAGACTTCTGCGGTTTAGCCCGCAGCACCACCACGTCCCTGGACGTGGTTAAGTCTTCTTAACTAGCAGCAATTTCCTGCTGCAGTTTCCCTGGAATACATGTAATAGAATTTGGGGCATAAAGACTTACCTGGTAGATATTTATAGAAATTCACAGTTAGACAGATACCCCTCATTCTCAGGAATTGTTACAATCACTTTAAAAACACCAATGGCATGTAATAAAAACATTATAACTTATTTCAGTCAAGTCCAGTTGAATGGCCTATGTTAAAAGTCTTTTAAAAGATTCCAATATTTTTTAAAAACAACCTTAGATACCAAACTCCTGCAAAAACTCCTATGGCTTGCAGTATTTGTATAATATATTCAGTCCAATAATTGTCCAGGAAAGAGATATTTCACAAGTCAAGACTATCATCTACCATTCTCTCCTTTATGACAACCAGGAAGGCATTTTTGTCAGATCTGATTGAATCATATTTTGTTCACAAAAGCAATCTGAGGCAAGGAAAGGGGAATAGTATATTAAGGCTACACCTGAGAGACTTCAGACCATGTTACATGATAAGGCCCAAACAGAACCTACCGTATTTCTCATATAAATCTGAAAAAGAACAGCAACCCAAACTCGCTTTTTAAAAAGACGTCGAGGCCGCACTTCCCTTTAAAGGGAATAACTCTTATCCTCAGACATTAGTCACACATTGTGTGCACACATATGTCAGTTCTGCTTACTAAACAGATCTTTCTTGCACCAGGCCCCAAACCCAGGCAGAACCTGACGACCCCTTTCCCACACGGCCACCTGGTCCCACTCCATCCGGGCTCTTGGGTCACTAGGGGGATCCAGAAACTCAACAGGTGAAGTTCCCCACCCCACCCCAAGCCAGAGGCACACCGCCAGGGAAGCTAAATGTCTTTACTGTCTGCCTCCCACGCGCTCTTCAGGCACAAGGGACGGGGATAGCAGCAATCCCTGCCGCAACGCTGGCCAGCGTTTTCCCCTCGGCCAGCTTACCTGCAGGTGGTCTTGCCAACCCCGCCCTTCCCTCCCACGAAGATCCACTTCAGGCTGCGCTGCTCGATAATATTGCTCAGCGTCGGCTCCAGCGGTTCCACATCGGGCGCGTCCTCGAACTCGTCCGCCTCGCCTCCCAGCCCAGACCCGGCCGTTGCCATCTTGGAACGAAGTCACGTGACCAGGCGCCCGGCTACACCATGTTCCAGGGAGAGGCGCCGCTCGCGCTCGGGGCGGGCCTGCCTCGCGGGGAAGTGACGGCGCGGCCCCCCCCCCCTGCGCTCCCTTAACCGCCAAGCGGGCTCAGGTGGCGCGCGTCACAAAAGGCTGATGAAAGCGACCGAAACCGCCCCCTTCCTCACCGAGCGCTAATGGTCTGACCCGCACTCGGTGGCTTTCAGCAGCTTTCTCTCCCGATTGGTGTCCGTGCAACGGAAATGCCCGCCTGGGATTTGAGGGAGGCGATTGCCGCCCCGCCCCGTTCCTCTTTGGGTGATCTGTCAGTGGTGATGCTGGCGGCCGTCGTGGCTTATTTCCTCTTGTCTCTCGCGGTGTGGCTCAGTTTGTTCTCTTTTAAAGCCCAGGCAGTCCTTCCTGTTACCTATTGATTGAAGAAATCATCCTCTCCGTCTTCCCTTCAGTGATGGATTGCATTGACCGACATGATGAATCGCGTCCGAGAACAGGAGAGTTGGCGTTGCTTAATAAACAACTTCTTTATTAAGCGTTATTAAACAACTTGTTTCATTTTGCTTTTCTGTCTGATCAAGTCCCTCTTTATCAGTCCATGGGATGCAGAGGATTCTTTTTTATACTTTCATTTCAAATGCGTTTATTCTCTATTACGCATCTAAATTGCCCAGACCTCACACCCATATGGGAGGGCTGACCTTGTGGAATACGTCAGCAGTCTTTGTCTCAAAGATACGTTAAGCTTTTTTTTACAGCAATATTTTATTTATAAAGTTTGTACTAGCTAGCTCAGTTTCCCGCTTAATTTCCGTATAGCTGATTATCAAAGATCCCAGAGACATATATTTGTTGACTTGGTCTACACTGAGTTGTTGCACATCGTATTTATACAAATATTGCCCACCCTGTAGTAATTATTATCCCCGCTTAATCTGTTTTCATTGGTTCAAAACGCCTGTCTGTCCTCCATGGCTGGAGCTACAGGTTCTCTTCGACGTGTAGGCGTTGCTTAGCAACGTCAGCTCTCCCGGTTTCCGAACGTGCCTTGCGTCCAGTGACATTGTCATCGCTCCCCATCGTGCTCTGCGCTTGCGCGTACTCAAGCAGGGAGGGCGGCGCAAGATGGCGGCGGCGCAAGGCGGAGGAGTTGGAGGCCCAGGTTCCGAGGCGGCCGGACCGGGCGGAGTGAACGTGTTCGCCAACGACGGGTCCTTCCTGGAGCTCTTCAAGCGGCGCATGGAGGAGGCCGCTGCGGCGGGAGGGAAGAGCGGAGCGGGGGGAACTGGGGCCGAGACGCAAAAGGAGATCGAACCGCGGCCGGAGCCGCCCGGGGAACAGGAGGCGCCGGGAAAGAAGCGGAGCGGAAGCGCCCTCAGCTTCGTAAGGGATCCGGGCCCTGACCTTTCCTATCTTCTCCCGAGCCTTTTTCTCTTCCCGCCCTTCCTCCCTGCCCTGCCGCTGGTGCCTTCTGTCCGTTGCTTTCCCTCCGTGGCAGCTGGGCTCTTGTCTTCCCTTCTGACAGGGCTTTTGGGCTCGTAATAGATCCTTGACAGGCAGGCATTCGACAGGTGAAGCATCTTGCCCACACTCACCTCCTTCCATCCCACATTGGTGTCCCTAACTTCAGCCACAGTTTACTTTCTGTCTTGGTAGCAGAGGTCAAGTTACGATCCCAAGTAAATTATTTTCCTGTCACTGAGCTATTTCACTCTTTTGTAAAGTGATTCTTTTGGATGGCTCTCTCATGTATATCCCGTAACTTTAAGCCAATGAGTGTTGGTGTAGATACTTAGTTCTAATTCCTTCTTCTCTTCCCCCTGGTTTAATGCACAGGGAATAGGATTGTATGGGATGTATCTTGGTTAGAAAACAAACAACAATAAATGAAGTATTCTGCTTAATTTTTCAAATATTGGATATGGGATGAATAGTACCAGAAAACAAGGAACTGGGATGTTTCTTTGAGTTTTGTCAGTTATAAAGTACAGGGAAGTTACTACTGGGATGGAGGACATTTTTATTCTCCAAAGTTACTTTAATTTGGTTATTGGAGATGATAAAACAGGCCTTGGAATCTTTTTGCTCGTTGATCCTAAATATATTTGCTTAGGGATAACTCATTAATATTGTTTCTGCTTTCCAAGTAAGTGTTAACAGAACTGTACCAGTGTTTGCTTCAAAAAGTCTCAGCTGTTGAGTAGCCAGGCTAAATGTCCCAACAAGTACAAATATTTTTTGTTCCTGTCTAAGAAAGAAAATTTGGAGCAGATCATTGTAGGCCATAGTTTTGAACTGTTTTAGAGATAAATAATTGGAGCCAAATGCGCCCAATGAGTTTTTATTTTAAGGACCAATCATAATATCTAGCATAACATGCATGTCTTCAAACTAGAAGCACCAGGTAGCGAACAGTTTCTAGCGATAGGTCCTGGTAGATGTCATAGTATTTTATTTTGTCATGCTTCTGAAGTATTGCTTGCTAGTTTAATACTAGCATGAACTTACTTTTCATGTGACTTCATGTTGATATGAAGTCACATGAAAAGTAATTTGGGTGCATTAAGAATTAAATTAAATTAAGATAAGCTCCTAATAGTTATGTACATAAAGGTAGTTATTTTCTAGAGTGTTTTGTTCTCTAAAGCAGAAGTGAGCAAGGGCAGTCCTCCAGATGTCATCTGGTAGCACATTCCAGTGTTTTTCACTGTTGGCTATACTGGCTAGGGCTGATGGGAACTACAAGCCATCTACATCTGGAGGTCTGCACGTTGACCATCTCTTCTCTAAACAGCTGCAGCAAATGCATCACTGCCACAGTTTCTTCACTTAGTGGAGAGTTTTCTGTATAACTGTTTTGAAGCCTTTTGCCTGGCTCTTAGAAAATAAATGGATTTCTGTCATCCATGCTGATATAATAATCCCAAAATAAGCTTTGGAAGAGTGTGTAAGGGTGCATTTTCTCCCCTAGTCAAACAGGAATACTTGAATTTACTCAGCATTCTTAGGTAATAACAGGACAATCCTATGCATGTCACTTCGGAGTAGACTTTTTTACTTGCTCCCTGGTAAATATGCAAAGGATTGCAGCCTGAGGATTACAAAATAAACTTAGTGTGTTCCCATCTTACAGAATGTGGGTGTTCATAAATAACTGTTTTGTTTTAAAAGTGAAAGTGCAGATGTTATTTGGATTTATAATGCATGCGAGGCTTCAGGGGAAGTGGATAGGAAGAATTTACCAATATATGCCAGGATTACTTCATGGTACTATGGAACAAGCAGAAAGCTGTAGCATCTTTTGTTGACCATTGGAACTCCACTTTTAGCAAAAACAGCATTTGAAACTCGAAGTCATAAAATTGTCATTTTTCAGAATGATATTTGAAACTTTGAACAACCTTCATTTGCTGTTAGAAATATAGGTTTCTGGGATAATGTTCGCTTATAGAGCAGTTCTGTAGCTTTAATTGCCCTCTTAATTATCAGGAAATAAAACCATTTTGTAAGTGCTCCAGAGTGATGTTTTATGGGAGTGTAAGTGAAACTTTAGTGGTAATGTTTATTTCTTAATAGGCAATGAGCCTGAAAATAATTCAGATTCCTCCCTTTCTTGTTACATTTTTTTTCATGTTTGGGCTTAATTGTACAGTTGTATTGGTGAACACTGCTAAGGTGCCCTTTTACCCTCCTAGCACAACGGTGTAGGTTACGCTCGGCAGCTCTGTACTGACTGACAGGTGTGATGGCGAGCTAAGATGATCTAATTGAAGGACTCCCTATACCGTTATATAGTGGGCAACATTCCCCTTGCAGCTCCCAGGCTCGTATAACGGTTGCAGTCTTCTATCCCTTCACCCAGGTGGGCAAGCGGCGAGGGGGCAGCAAGCTAGCCCTGAAGACAGGAGTGGTAGCCAAGAAACAAAAGACAGAGGATGAGGTAAGCACGGTCCTCTTTATGGTTTGCATATGGAATAGGCAGCTGACAGTCTACAGGACAAAACAAGTGACATTTGTCTCATTTTCTTTGTGTGAAAATTTGGGGAACTGAATGATAACTGTCAACCTTTGCTAACAACTCTAGAGGAAATCTGAGTAGACCAGAAACAGAGAATGTGAGACTCTAGACTTTGTTGGATTGTTCTCCTGTCAGCCTTTGTCAGTGTAACCATTGTTGGTGGATTGTGGGTTTTTTTCTTTTTCAGGTGGGTTTTTTTCTTGCCAACTTTGGAAAAGCTGAGGGCTTTTTTTCAGATTTTCCAGTAGCCTGAGGACTGCATTCCCAAGAGCAGTTAGCTAAAGTAGAAGGGATGTGGTGAAAGTTGCTAGTTAGTGTATTTAGTTTTTAAATTTGTAATTTTAATTTAATATTAATATATTTCATCAGTTATTTTTACACAGTGAAATCAAGGTGAAATCTCACCCTACCCTTACTTGATTTACTAAATACCCTGTTTCCCCAAAAATAAGACTTAACCTGAAAATAAGCCCTAGTATGATTTTTCACAATGCTCATAATATAAGCCCTACCCCCCAAATAAGCCCTAGTTAAGTGAAACCCCGCCCTCCACCATTGTACAGCAACCAGAAGAAGATATGACTATATTTGAATAAATGTAGATTGTTATACATTGAAAAAATTAAACATCCCCTGAAAATAAGCCCTAATGCATTTTTGGAGCAAAAATTAATATAAGACCCTATCTTATTTTTGGGGAAACACGGTAAGTCACTCATGCTTAATTAGAATATTAATGAATAAAGGCTTTCGTTTAAAAAAATGTATTCCTGTTTTATAAAATTCTATTTCATAAAATATTCTTTCTCCGAAAATAAATGTGTAATCTATTAAAGGAAATTCATTTACTAATCCCTAACACTATTGTTAATGTATTATTATGACAATACTGGTACTTGCAGTAGCAATAGTAGCAAAAGCATTAAAAAATCCCAGCTCTGTGGTTCTTTGATGGCCAAAGAAGCCCTAACTAGAGAGACATGGAGAAGGAAAAGAGCAGGGTGCAGGAGGTAGACTAAAGAGTTCTGATGTAATCAAAGGTAAATAAGTTTTTTCATTGCTTTATAACAAAAGCAGGCAGTAGATAAAATAGTGCAGCCAAGCCACACTGTGTATACTTGATAGTGGATTACCCTCGTGGTTTGGCAGTACAGTAGTTTCTATGGACGGAAAAGATAGTGGATTACCCTTGTGGTTTGGCAGCAGTATTTTATTTCCAGTTAGGCCAGATGTGAGCAAAAATAAAAAGTCTCTGGCTTTCCATGCAGCCTGTTGGCCACCCCACTGTAGTATTTTCTTTCCAGTTAAGCCAGATGTGTGCAAAAGTAAAAACTCTCTGGCTTTCCATGCAGCCTGTTGGCCATACTTTGCCTAGCCCTTGATTGTGGGCATTAAGATCCCAATAGCATTGGGAGGATCATGTGTTTCCTGCCTCTAGTTTGTGGGGGAGGGGAGAAATGCAGCTACAGTACATGTTTTCATTGATTTAGCAAGCAGTACTTCAGTAAAATTCATGCTAGTGCCCTACTCTACTAGAAGCTGAGCTCTTCAGTGGAAAACTGCAGATGATTCTGGAAGAACTATAGAATATTTAGATTCTTCTTTCTACACCTCTCAGAAAAGCAGCAAAGCTGGAGGCTAGGCTGAAGTATTCTGTTTGCTTAGAAGGGAGCATATTGTCTTTTGAATTGACATCCTGGGAACAAGAACTTACTAGCTCTGTGTTATGAGAGATGTCCGTACCTTTCTTCTATTTTCTATAACTTCAATGAGATCAAAGCAGCAGTACACATGAACTTAACTATTTTTATCTGCACAAAATCTTGTGAGGTGGGTTAGATTGAGGTGTGGTGAATAACTTGGGGTCACACTATGAGGTTTATGGCTCAACAAAGATTTGAACCTGGATTGCCTAATCTAAAAGCGATGTATGTTCTTCAGCTCATTAGCTCCCTTTGGCAAGCCACTACTCATAAGAGTAGTCATTTTGAATATGGTATCATAAATGTAATTATCGTCCAAATACAACCTTTTTAATTTGCTTCCACTTTTTTTTCTCTTCTAGGTTTTGACAAGTAAAGGTGATGCATGGGCCAAATATATGGCTGAAGTGAAAAAATACAAAGCCCACCAGTGCAGTGATGATGATAAAACCCGCCCTTTGGTCAAATAACTTTCATCTCCAGCCTGGACTGTCTCTGATGTACATAATTATTTAAAACATCAAAGGAGAATAGCTCTTTACCACTGACTGAATGCTGCCAAGGCAGCAGGTGACTTGCCATACTTTTATATTTGAGAGTTTAGAGCCTCCTTCACTGGTTCATTTATAATTTTGCTCTTTATCTTCCGAGAACTAAGAACTTTGACTTAGTTATGAAATTTTTTTAAACAGTTTGTAATTCCCCAAATAGTGGAATTGGTCTGACATGTCTTTCCCTGAATCTCCAGGCAACATACCTTGCTGGCAAAATCTTTAGCATTGAGCCTTTTCTCAACACTTCCAGAACACTTGAAGTTCCATCACGAGATAAGCTAACAGCTTTTATCTTTGCCAAATGCATTATATCTTGCTATTGAAGGTGAACTTAATTGTGGTCACATCTGTCCAATCTGCACTGCAGGTAGTAGTGGTCCCAGAGCACTTTGTTATGTTGTTTTTGTCCATGACAAAAAATGACTGGTGCTCTGTTTCTTGGTATGCTTCGTTGTCTAGCTGTTCTGACTGCATTTTCCCTTGTCTTCGTTTCACTGTATATTTCAGTGAGTTATGTGATTTAATCCTGAATTCCAGTTGCTGTTAAGACTCTTCCTAGCCTCCTGCTGTGCATGCCCTAATGTAGTATTGGAGACAATTCTGCTTATCCACTGGCTAAAAAGGTAGAAATTTGGTCTGCACCTGTATTGGAGAAAATACAAACCTGCCCTGGGATAAATATATGATTCTAGCCCCTCTATCTCAGTCCTGAGCTTTGTGGCTAGAATTCTTTTGCACTCGGACTGTGATCTGGGTGATTTGGCCATAGGTCTGGCAATTGTTTGCTGTAAGCGTGAGATCTACTTCTTTTCGTGAAGTATCTCCAGTTGGATTTTCTAAAAGGGAGCAGAAACAGCTTAAACCTAAACCCTATTGCCAGTGATGTGGATTCTGTCATGGAGAGTGACTAAATATGCCAGTTTCATTTAAAAGAAATATACAGACCTCTAGTACATTCCCAGTAATTGGGCAGGAATCATGAAAGGAAAATGACCCCCCCCCTTTTTTTTTTAATGAGATGCATGGGGCTTGTGTCTAATCTTACTCTGTTTATGCCATCTGTTGTCAATGGAGTTGACTTTTTGTGGCAGGGACGATGCAGATAAATACATGATTTTTTTAGCTGTATTATACAAAATATAGTCACTGGGAATAATATGTACACTGAAGGAAGACCACTTGAGATTTTTGTGTTGTCATCTGAGAGAGGCCTAAATGGATGGATGTTTAATAAAAAGTACACTTAAAGCAGCATGTGGGCCAAATCTTCAGGTAAAATTTTATTTCCTCTGGAAGCTGCTTTGTATTAATCAGAATAGCTTTGGTCCTTTTGTATGACTGATAAAGACACCTGAGTTATGAAAAAATGCTCTTTAATGTTAAATAATCTTGCCAGAATTGCATCCCACCAGAGCACCTTCGAGGGCTTTCCTTTCAGCACATGTAATGGTATGTGCTTGGATCTCTTGAGCATCTGGCACAGCTTTTACATGTATATTTCCAGTTAAGAGTATCACACGCTTATTAGGCAGGGATTGGCACTAGAAAGACTTTATCCCAACTCTGCCCCCTCCCATGCATTCAGTCTGAGGTAGTGCCCTGAAAAAGGCTCAGAGTTGTCATGTGAGAGTCTGTTTGCTATTGAAAGCTGAAGCAACTTGGAGGTTTAAATATTTCAGAGGTATCTGATTTCCAGCAGACTATGAAGGGGTGGCAGTTTGCTTCCTTGTTCTACACTTGATCAAGCTCCTTTTATTGCTGTTGATCTCCAAAGCCCTGCTTAGAGAACTGATAATCATTCTTAATACTGGCTTTTTAAAATAAAGTTCTGTTGTGAATATTTGTGAGTCATGTTTTGCTTCTTGTGTAAGTACTTTTTAGGTATTTTATGGCGATTGCAATTGTTTACTGTCGCTATAAGCATACCATCAAAGTCTGAATTGCAGCATGGTTCTCTGTTTATGGATTAAGGAAAACTACTTAACTTAGATCGCATGGTAGTGATTACTTCTCACAGTCCCACGCCTGAGTTAATACCCAAAACTGCTGGATAAAAAGAGGTATATAAAATACAGATTTATATTACTAAAAAATAGCAGGTTTTTTTATTTACAATCTTTAAAAGTTTGGAAGATTTAAGTAGAGCTGGGATGCAATTCCATCATGAAAGATTTCCCTTCAGCTCTGGATTGCTTTATGGGGGAAGAAAGCTGCTTAAACTGCCCATTTAAGTACAGTATTTCTGGAATAGAGGGCAGTCAAAAGAAGGGCAAATAGAAGCTAGTATATAAAATATGATTCCTTTCAGTGATTGAATTCAAAGCTTGGGATTGTTGCTTTTAAAAGAAGCACAGCAATTTTTATACATAACATGTTACCTGTTATGAGTAAAAGTGTATTACTACGTTGTTACTTTGGTTGCTTTTTAAAAATATATTAGAAATGGCAAAGTGGCCCTCCCACCAAATATCAGTTCTGCAGTAACAAGTAAATGTTAATATTTGCTTTAAAACATTTTAAAGTAATGACATGGGTCCTTGTTACTGAAATAACAATGAAACAAGTGTTATGTTTACTATATAACTTCCAAGCTGTAGTTACTGTTCCTTGATTAACTTGACCATATTTATGGCTCAGATGTTTTTGTTCTTTCTAATGTGTATTATGTTTTGTATGGTGAAAGTGTTTTGTAAATATCTACTACTACAAGTTTGCTATTTTTCTACAATCTCCATGTCTGATGCCCCGTCACTGCACATTCTTCCTCTCATATTTTTCATCGATATAATCAGCTTCTGTATGGAATTGCCAAAGCAGCCTTGTCTTCTTCCCCATGCAGTCTCCAAATAAGAATTAAACATAATTTGGATTGATGCTAGTAGGCTTAAGATAGCATTCCAGGTACTGCTGAACATTATGAAGCTGCATTCAACAGTCAGACCAGTTGTTTGTCTCATTCTCTCCCATTTTGACTAGTTTATTCTTTCACTGTTCCTCTTAGGGAGATATCTTTATCAATATCTGCTGTTTTTGACCAGAAGTGCCTGGACTTCGAACTACAGTGTGTTTCTCTACCTCTGAGTTATGATTGTTGACTACAGGACTTGATCTCAAGCTATGAAATCCTTACTTAGTAAGCAGAAGGGATAGCAATCTGTGTGTAAGGGCTTTGTTGCTGATAGTTTGATGGAACTGCCAGAAGAAAAACAGCAAAAAGATTTAACATTTGGTCTCCAGTTATGGCAGATTTATTTGAAAAGCTGGTGTAGAAGAGACAGCTTTCGAGTAGAGGCTCAGAGGCTGACTACATGAGCGTTTAGTCCACTGTTTTCAGTGCTGCAAAGATGGGGTGTGCTCTTAAAGACCGCAGTCAGATTATGTATTTGCTAGAGCACACCAGCCTCACCCTAGAGTGTTGCTACCTGAACCTTTCTGGCCTGTCAAGGGGCTGCTGCTTTTCTGGTGCAGGTATTATTTCTCTGGTTTAGGTTACTTCCAGTGTATGTGATTACTGGCACTGATCCAAAGCAAGGCTTCCAGTTTGAATTTTCCCATATGGTGAAGTGGCTTAATAAGTGAACCATTTCAAGATAATGGTAAATCATGTCCCCTACTCAACAGAGGGCGGAGGAAGTGATTTTTTTTACTGTATATAGTTTATTGCTGATGTGTTGCATCAATTATAAAAAATAAAGAATAAACCCTTTTCTTTGCCTTGTCTTTAAGGGCCAGTTGAGAGACCATCCACAGTTAAATCCATGGTGGTGGCTTCATCTGCAGGCAGTTTCTTGACTGGGCCTTTAAGAGAAGACAAGATTTTAAAAAATTTTTATAACTGATGCAGCACATCAGTGATAGTCTATATACAGTCAAAATGAATTTCATTTCCCCTGCCTTTTGCTGAGCAAAGGAGGTGATTAGTTTGGCAATATCCTTAAGTGACTTGCTCATTAAGCCCCTTCAAGATACTGTATTGGCAAAAACATTTCTGTTTGAATGGTTGTGCTTAAATATATTATTCTAATCTAATCAGGGAAGAGAATGAGTTCCAAAGTAGCTCACACTAATTTGCTCCCTGACACTAATAGAGCCACACCCTTGCACACAGCTTGTCTTTTGGTGTCTTCTATGTGACAATGAAATAAGACATAGTTATTGTGGATAACACTGATTAGAATAGTTCTGATTAAGACTCAGTGCCGCCTAACAATAAAGGGAAACTAGAGCTTGTTTAGCAGATAGAGTGGATGGTAAATTGATGACTGGAAGGTAAATTCCCACTCAGACCTTGAAAATCTCTTAGGGGTAGTATTGGTAAAACTACTCTTTAAAACTCTCACATACCCTGAAAGAACTATTAAGGTTGCTCTTAATAGTGACTTGATGGCACATACAACAGAGCAAAACACAATCACTGATGGTTGACCAGCTGATTAATTCCTGTCAGGTTCCGAACAAACTTATTTCTCCTGGTGATGGAAGGGATTTGCAATCAGTTTCTCATATATATATATATTTGAAAGGATTATAGGCAATCTATTTTATTTCCATTTGAATGCAATGTACATCAGTTCTGTTTTCAAGTGCTAGATCCTTGTTAAGGACAATACATAATCAAAAAAGCACTTTTCACGCCTCTCCAACTTGCAAGGCAATAAACAAACCATGACTAAGGGAAGCCTTTCCAGGTGGTGAGGTTGCTGCATGGCACTAACAGACTGCATGGGTGATTTCCTATGTAGTAAGAGTCTTCACTTTAACTTGTGTAAGGAAAATGGCAGGCAACAACCTAGAAACATTTCTTCATTTTTATGAAGAATTCAAATAATCTTAATCCATAGTCAGTCTCTAGAAGGGCTTTCAGTTTCCTGAATATCCAACCTTCTGTAAAAATGGTTATTTACAAGTAACACTTCCATTTTGCCCCCTGTAAGCATGTCAAGAAATCTGCAGTAAGGCAGACATTTCAGATTGTGGGAAGCATCCTAAAAATCCAGTTGACAGTTGAACAAAAAATCTGTGTGTATGAAATGTTTTCTCTTCAGATCTACCCATGTAACAAGACAAAACCACTCTTGCTATTGTGGATGTGTATGAACTTGAGTGCATTAGCTGGGAGAATCTGCTTTTGCCATCAAGTCCTCCAAAGTGCCATGCTGCATCTTTTCCAAATGGATGAAACCCTCCCCTCTTAATTGAGGGAAATAACATCTAAAAGCAGAACAGAGCAAGAGAATAGTATCCTTCTGTTTCAGCTGAAACAGCAGCCTTTAAACAGAAACACTTCACCTCCAAAAGCAACAGGATCAAGCCCAGCCTCATTATGTGGCCATTTCACCGCCCCATGGTGCCCCTCAAAACGACCCAAACTCCTTGTTTCTTCATTGTGGTGTATGTGCTACTGCATGCATTTTCAGTAGATGTAAACATGCCTGCTCTTTCCACCTGACTTCAATGAAGCACAAGTCCAGAAAAAAAAAATTACTGGTGACAGTCCTGATTCTGCCACAATCCCAGAACTCATCTCTAGATTTAAATTTTCAAGATTTCTGTCAGCCACCTCAGTTTTTGGCTGAAAAGTTACAAATTCCATGCAGCACCCTACAAAAAAAATAGTACGTATGTGCTATTTCAGTGGGAATTTAGAGCAGTCTGGGGCAGGGAATAATTCTGATCTTCCAAAAACAAATGTTGGGTGTAAGTGAACGGCCAACTCCAGCTTTGCCATCTCCCGCTCCCTCCCCCCTCCCCAACACAATGCTCAAATATGGCACAAGTCGGCCCTAAGTACAGCCAGCAAAACCAGAATGGCTGTGTGTTGTCCTTAAGCCTGGAACCAGGTTCTTTGCTGTAGGATTCTTTGGTGTCTCCCAGAAGTGTGCAAATCTTAAGTGTGCCACTTCACAGCTTCCCTCACACAGCCACAGCCTGGAAGCATGAACAAGAGCAGGGCCACAAAGCCATTTCAGTTATTCTCATAAGAGGACAGCAGGGCAGCATCCACTGGCTCCATGCAAGAGGGGCAAGTGAAAGATCGCATCAGCCAGTCATCAATGCAGTGTACGTGGTAGATGTGTAGACAGGGCAAGAACCGGATGGGGTCACCGTAGACAAAATCCAGCATGCAGATCACACACCTGCAGTTAGGCAGACACAAAAAGAAACAGAATAAAGGTACAGCAAAATGGCTTCCAAGTTTCCTCCCACACATTCCCTGCCCTATTTGCCACAGGGCAGGAAACCCATTTGTTTCTAAAGAACTAGCTGTGTATGATCTGTCCTTATACTCCTCCTGAACACTGCAGCCCAGGCCCTGCTAGTTCTTGTGGCTGGTCCATGACACCATCAACATCACGCCTTTCCGGCAATAAGAACAAACAGTAACACCTCCAGTGATTAGCATCATTCTGGATGCTATTCGTGCTCTGATGAAAGGCCATTCCATTCCCACACTTTTTCTACCAATGGTCAGTACTGTGTGCCTACCAGGTATGCACAGTTTTCACTGCCCCTTTCCAATCCTTGTGAAGGCTGTTTTGAACACACAAGAATTCATGCTCTGAGAATGGAATTTGCTTCAAGGTTAGAGAACCTATAGCTATAACTCCCATCAACTGTGACCAATGCCTCACCACGCTGGCTGGAACTGAAATGAGAGTCAAATGTTTTCTGGGTGGCCACAGGTACCTCATCTCAATGTACAACCTGACGTTAAAGGAATAGATAGTGTAATGCTCAGAATTTTAAATGCACTATGAATAACTCCCCCTGTACTTGCAAAGTTCCCTAGGCTTCACACGAAGTAGAAGTACTGACCCTCAGTCACCTTCATTCCCCACA